AAAGGGTGTTGAGTTTGGTCAAATGCTTTTCTGCGTTTATCACAAAAATCATATAGTTCTTGTCTTTATTCTGTTAATATGGTGACTTAAATTGATTGATATTCAAATATTAAAACCACCTCACATTTCTGGGATAAACCCTATCCAGTCATGTTGTGTTATCCTTTTAAAATATATTGCTGAATTTGATTTGCTAACATTTTGTTAAGGATTTTTGTGTCCACATTCATGAAGAATATTGGTCTGCAGTTTTTTCATATTGTAATCTTTTGGGTCTAATTTTGGCATCAGGGTTATGCTGGCCTCATAAGACAAGTTGGGAAGTATTCCATTCTCTATTTCAGATAGTTTGTATAATACTGATATTGTTTCTTCCCCAAATATTTGAAACATTCACTAGAAAAAAATCATCTAGCTCTGAAGTTTTCTTTGTGGCAAGTTTTCTTTATAGTTAATTATATTTCTGTAATAAATGTAGGGCCATTCAGATTTGCCATATCATCTCATGTTAGTTTTGGTACACTGAATTTTTAAGGAAATTTGTTCATTTAAGTTGTTGGATTTGTTAACAGAATTGATCGTAGGCCAGGCATGGTGGCTTATGCCTGTAATCCCAGCACTTTGGGAGGCTGAGGCAGGAGCATTGCTTGAGAGGCCAGGAGTTCAGTACTAGCCTGTGCAACATGTGGGATCCCGTCTCAACAACATATTAAAAAAAAAAAACTAGCCAAGCACAGTGCCACAGACCTGTAGTCCCAGCTATTAGGCAGGCTGTGGTGGGAGGATCGCTTGAGTCCAGGAGTTTGAGGCTGCAGTGAGCTATGATGCTGCTGCACTCCAGCCTGGGCAACAGAGCAAGACACTTTCTCAAAAAGAAAAAAAAATCATAAATATTTATTTTTTATTCTTTAAAAGTCTTTAAGATCTGAGCAAATCTTTAAGATCCTTCTCTCATACTCATTATTGACAATTTGTATTCTCTCTCGTTCTTGATCAATCTAGTTAAGGTTTTATCAGTTTTTCAAAATTTTGTCAGACAACCAATTTTGATTTTGTTCATCTTTTTCCCTTTTTTATTTTCTATTTTCTTTAGTTCTGCTTTTATTTTTATTATTTCACACTTCTTCTTTTTTTTTTTCTTTTTTTTAGAAACAGAGTCTCACTCTGTTGCCCAAGTTGGAGTGCAGTGGTGTCATCATAGCTCACTGCAACCTCAAACTCCTGGGCTCAAGTGATCCTACTGCCTCAGCCTCCCAAAATGCTAGGATTACAAGTGTGAGCCACTGTGTCTGGCCCAGTCTTCTTTTTCTAGCTAAAGTCATTGATTTTAGGACTGTGGTTTTAAATCTCTATTCTTTTTAAATACAATCATTTAAAGCTATAGATTTCTCTCTAAGTACTGCTTTAGTTGCATACCATGAATTTTGATATGTGGTATTTTCATTATTATTCAGTTCAAAATATTTTACAATTTGCCTTTTGATTTCTTCTTTGACTTATAGATTCTTTTATTTCCAAATTTTGGAGCTTTTCCAGATATCTTATTGTTATTAATTTCTAATTCCTTTTGGGTCTTTTATATAACTTGTCTTTTTCTGCTGAAATTTCCTATCTTTCCATTCATTATGAATATATTTTCCTTTGTTCCCTTGATCACAGTTATAATAGTTGCATTTTAATCCTTATTTGCAAATTCCAACATGTGGCTCATCTCAGAGTCAGTTTAGCTTTTTGTTGTTGTTGTTGTTTTGTTTTGTTTTGTTTTTTTTCCTAGTCTTAGTAGAGTCGGGGTCTCTCTCTTGCTCAGGCTGATCTCGAACTCCTGAGCTCAAGTGAGCCTCTTGCCTCGGCCTCCCAGAGTGCTAGGATTACAGGCGTGAGCCACTGCGCCCAAACTCAGAGTCGGTTTCTTTATAGTCTTTTCCTTTGAGCATGTGTCATGTTTTCCTATTTCTTCATATGCTGAGTAATTTTAGATCGTATCCTGAACATTGTAAATGTTATGTTGTGGAGACTCTGGATTCTGTTTCATTCTTCTAAAAAGTATTGACTGTTTATCTGTAGTTTGTTTGTTTGTCTTAGCAGGCATTTAACTTGGTAGGCTCAAATTCTTAAGCTCCGTCCTCCTTGAACTGAGCAGTACGTCAAATCTCAGGTTACTTCTTTTAGCTTTCGCTGGTACATTTCTGGTTCAGAGGTCAGCCAAACGTTTGGGCAGAATTTGTATGCAGAATTTGGGACTCTTGCTCTCTAACCCTTTCCTTTCTATAAATATAATTGCCCCTGCCCACTTTCCAATGGCTGTAGTTGCCCCAAACTTGGCCATCTTGTTCTTCGAGACAGAAAAAAAGTTATGTTTGTTACTAGAGCCTTAGCTGTCCCTCATCCACGGGTCCTGCCCTTAGGCCAAAGTCATAAAAATGGGAATCTCATCCAGTGCCATTCAGATGTTCTCTACCTTCAAACGCCTAATCCCCTTCAGCATCCATCTGTTTTTGGTGGCTCATCAGTGCCCTCAGGAACTTCTGGGAGGGGGGTCGTTTGTTTATTTTGAGTCCATAAATATATATAATATAAACCGCATTTGGATTTATAGTTTCTATCTATAGAAGAGCCGGTCACATAGGAGCTTACTCAGCCATTACCAGAAGTAGAACCCAGTTATGTTATCTTCTACACAATAAGTCATCCAGTACTTGGTAACCTGGCAGACATGGACTGAAAAGTCATCTTAGCAACCCAATCAAGTTGCATTATTCAGGACCACAGACCAAGAAAAGACTGGATAAAGCAGGAAGAGGTGAAAGTCAACTGGATTGGCCAGTGGTTCCCCATTATCTCAGAGCAGCCTGAGGACTTCTACTCTGGAGAGCTGAGAGAGAAAATGTGAACTCCACTGAGAATAGAGGTGTGTGATGATTCAGCCTTTGCGATATAGACAGCACAAATCATCCTCCAAGGAAGCCAACTCATCTCTCTGTTCCATATTTGTGAAAGGTGTTAAAATGCTGAGAGTCTGTAAAACTACTTGTCCTGTAATAAATTAAAATAAAGGGGGGCAGAGAGAGAAGATACCTTCTTTCTCAAGAGAATCCATTTAATTTTGAGAAATTTCCAACCATGAAGCCGGAGTGTTGATGTTAAGAAGATGGTCAGCCTGTACTGTTCAGTGGGTCGGGGGAAGACAAGAGTTACTTAGTAGACTTGGGGGTCACCTGTATGATATGAAGTGTGCTTAGAAGGCCTCTGTCTCAAAATATCTCCACTTCCAACCTGTCACACTATAGGAAATCTAGAGGGTTCATTCTACACTACAGGTTTCTTGTAGGTAAAGACTACTTATTTGTTCCTCATGCTTATACTCTAGAATCTAGCATCTATTAGAGTGCCTGGCATATGTCAGGGATCATTAAGGACTGCTGCATTGAGTCAGATATGCCCATTTTTAAAATTTAAATACCCAATATGTCAAAAAAAATTAAAAGACCATATAGACATAATTGAAAGGCTAAAAAGCACAATGGGTTGACAGTACTAAGTAAAGTGCTCTTAAAAATCCATAGGAAAAATGTTATTTTTCCAAGTGGAAAAATCAGCAAAATCCATAATTTCTTTAAAACTAAGAAACACAAGTAGACAGTAAACATATAAAAGCACGTGCATTCCTCTTTAGGAATCAAAGAATACAAAGTAAGACCACCATACATAGTATTTTCAACTATCTTCATTTCAGTCTCTAGAGACACAAATTGACTTGACTGCCTAAAATAGAATAAATCCTAAGACCTCCTTATTATTTCCCTTACCCAAACCTAGACAGTGAGAAACTCAGGCTATTTCTCCAGTTGTCTCCTCACAATAAAAGGCAATAGAGCCTGGGTTCCACTCTTGACTCTCTGTGGCTTACTGGCTTTATAACATCGAGAAGGTCATTTCAACAGACTGAGCCTCAGTTTCCTCTCCTGTAAAATGGAGGTGGTCACGCCTTACAGAGCATTGCAGGATTAAATGAACAGGATGGTATAATGTGTTCACATAATGCCTGGCACATTGCAGGTGATGGGACCTCTCTTACCTAGCTCAGGCTACTGCTTCACCCAAGTCATCCACCCTCCTTCTCTGAGGGCATAGCAGCTGCATTCACTTCTCTCAGGGAAAAGTCCAACTCTTCTAGTCCCTTTTGCTCCCTTTTCTCTCTTCAGCCTTCCAGCCTCACCTTTTCTAACATCTCACCAACAGAGACAGTGCAGTTTTCTTAGCTACTTCCCTCCTCCCCTTCTATTGGACACTTAGGTTGTTGCCACTTGCCTGCACCTATAAGACGTGCTGTATAAAACAAACTCCCAAATGGTGAAGCTCTGTCCTCTGAGAGTTACTCCTCCGTGTTCATGAGGCTTTGGTCCCCCAGAGTGTCAGGGTTCATAGCAGTCCTTAGATAATTTTGCTCTCTTTTCAGGGCTATTCTGGAGACAGCAAGTTCCCTAACACAATCCTGCCATCAGGATTTCTGCACTTTGTGGAAAGGGAGGGAAGGATAGTAAATGCTTGATAGATATTTGCCGAATAAATGAAGGAATGACTCTGGGATCATTAGCACCATTTTGTAAATGAGGAACTAAGGTTCAGAAAGGTTAAATGGCTTGCCCAAGAGCACAGTAATTGGGCTCAAATTTGTTCTCAGGTCTTTGAATCCAGTCCCATGGCTTTTTCCCCTACAGCTACTGGGAGACTGGTTCAGCTTAGTGCTACTCAAGTGCCAGTCTGCAAGGAGAAAGGAGGCTCATGACAGAGTGTCAATCAATTCACTGCTGCCTTCATTAAGAAAGTCTTGATATGGAAAAAGAAATGTTAGCCACGCCACATAATATGCTTTTGGACTTTATCTTCTGGCACAAGTTTCTAAGTTTCTAATCTCATTACAAACACAGACAATACTTTTTTTCGTAATATGGGTCCTAATGATCTCTAGTCTAACCACAGGGCTTTACACTCCGTGTCTCTCTCATTTCAGAGGCTCTCAGGGGCCCTGCCGTCTGGTCGGGATGGAATATTCAGGCATCTCAGAATCCACCACCTCTATTGACTATGATCTTCAGAGCCTTCTGTGTGACAACACAACCTTCGTCTTTGCCACCATCACCACCACCATCCTGTACTGCCTGGTGTTCCTCCTGAGCCTGGTGGGCAACGGCCTGGTGCTGTGGGTCCTGGTGAAGTATGAGAGCCTGGAGTCCCTCACCAACGTCTTCATCCTCAACCTGTGCCTCTCAGACCTGGTGTTCTCCTGCTTGTTGCCTGTGTGGATCTCGGCGTATCATTGGGGCTGGGTGCTGGGGGACTTCCTCTGCAAGCTCCTCAATATGATCTTCTGCATCAGCCTCTACAGCAGCATCTTCTTCCTGACCATCATGACCATCCACCGCTACCTGTCTGTGGTGAGCCCCCTGTCCACCCTGCGCGTGCACACCCTCCGCTGCCGCGTGCTGGCGACCACAGCCGTGTGGTCAGCCAGCATCCTGTTCTCCATCCCCGACGCCATCTCCCACCAGGTACATCCCTGGGGCTGTGATTATTCCGGACGCGCGTGGTTCCTGGCCTCGGTCTACCAGCACAACGTCTTCTTCCTGCTGTCGGTGGCGGTCATCCTGTTCTGCTACGTGGAGATTCTCAGGACCCTGTTCCGCTCGCGCTCCAGGCGGCGCCACCGCACGGTCAGGCTCATCTTCACCATCGTGGCGGCGTACTTCCTCAGCTGGGCGCCCTACAACCTCATCCTGTTCCTGAAGACGCTGCCGCACCTCGGGGTCCTCCAGACCTGCGAGGCCAGCCGGCAGCTGGAGTACGCCGTGCACATCTGCCGCAACCTCGCCTTCTCCCACTGCTGCTTCAACCCGGTGCTCTACGTCTTCGTCGGGGTCAAGTTCCGCGCGCACCTCAAAAGTCTGCTCCGGCAGCTCTGGGGCCGCGGGCCGCAGGCGCCCCCGCTGTTCCCCCCCTCCCCCGGCGCCTCTGCCTATGACGGCGCCTCCTTCTACTGAGAGCGGTGTGGTGGGGGGGCGCGGGGGGACGGGCCGGCGGGGAGCAAGGAGCGACCGACCAGGAAGGAGCATTTCGGGGGACGCTACGCAACGGTGGGGACGCCACCTTCCGCTGCAGGCGCGGGGCGAAAGAAATTCAGCACACCAGTGGGCCCGCGTGCCCCCTCCTCTGCGGAAAAGGGGCTTTCCACCTGGGAGTTTTTGTTTGTTTGTTTGTTTGTTTTTTGAAGTTCCATAAGAATACTTTTATGTCAAATTTTGTACTTAAGAATAATTACTAAAAGATGCACAGATTTACTTTGTACTTAAATGTTTTGTGAACACCAGTTTTGCTTAATGTCAGCATGTGTTTAAGTTTTCATCTTTTTAATCAGCCGATTAACATGGATTGCTATCATAGCAGGTAGGATCCATAGCAGGTAGGATCCATAATTCAGTATGATCAGAATCTATATAATCAGGAGAGATATTTTCTATAGATATGCAAGAAATCCAAATTTTTCTGCTTGGTTGAAAGTTTCATTATCCTGCCTGAAACTAATGTCCATAGTTGGGTGTGTTCATTCAGCAAAATTCACTGAGCACCTACCCTGTGCAAGGCACAACAGGGATGCAGCAATGAACAAGACACCCCTCCGCCCCAATCCTAGCCCCAAGAGAGGGTGCATTCTGTGTGGGCCTCATGGGACACTTCACTATCCTAGCAGCCACCACCTGGGAATTTTATATTGCCATCTAGAAAAACATTTCTTGGACTCTGAGTTCATCATTTATTCATTTAGACGTGGATTTAACAGTGCTTGGTTCAGAAGGTCCTAAAACGTGAAAAGATTCTGGAAAAGGAGCATCCTTTGAGATTCAAAAGGGCCTGAAGCTCAATGTGTGTGATAACTGTGTGATGTAGGTTGCTGGCAAGACAATGTCTCCCTTCCCTGACTGTTGGGTTGTCCCAGGTGATTTGCTCACTTTGGAGGGGGCAGGCTCTTTATTCCCCAGTGACTGCTGGATGAGGCTGTTGGCAGGACAAAGAGTAACCGCACCCTCAAATAAGCTCAGTCATGATGAAATCTGAATTCTAAAAACCCACAACTGGAATGGAGGTATGTTCTGTATCCTAGTTCTCGTTCCTGGCACATGAACTGGCCCTTAAATATTTAGCCTATGTTGATAAAGACTTTCTTCCTTAAAAATAAAAAAATTATTTAGCCCAAAAATATTTTACTGAGTGAGTATAATAAGTGCTACCTTTTGCACTAAGTGTTTATTCAGAGGATACAAAGATGAATGAGACACTGTTGCTATATGCCCCAGGTGCCAACAGTCCAGGCCTGAAGGCCCACATACTTTGATGAACACTTACCTTGGCAAAGTCATCCAGCTTGAAGACTCTACCAACATCTCATCCTTTCCAGGTGGGTAGTGAGATGACTTAAGATTTCTCACTTTCCATCTAAAATGTCCTCCTCCAGCTTGCTTGATGGTGCCGGCTTTGCCCCAGTCACCCACACTCCAAACCTTGAGTCTTCTTGGAGCCCTGCATTTTCTTTCCAACTCCCACAGCCAGGTCCTCCTGACTCTCCCTCTCCCCTGGCTCTCAGAGTTGTTCTTGCCATTGCACGCCCATGGCTTCATCCCTCAAACAGGGTCTCACTTCCTCAGCATCTCCCCACTGGTCCTCTCTTTCCCCACCCAGGACATCCTCTGCCCTGATTCCAGGGTGCTTTAAAACCCTCATCACTGACAAATAAAGTCCAAACACCTTAGCAAGGCTTTCAAGGCCTCTACAACCTGATGCCAACCAACTTTTCCATTGTTATTCCACTCTAATCCCCCTCCCCCAAGCAGCTTGGGATCCAACTCCAAAAGACCTCTGGCCTTCTTCCAGATGCCCTTTTCCCCAGTGTCCTGCCCCTGAGCCTTTGTCATGCTGTCACCTGAGCCTAGAACATTAATCCTTCTCCCCTTCCTAGAGCCCCAGCTGAAAGCCCAGCTCCTCTAGGAAGCTTTTCCCAATCTACAAATCAGAAGGGCACTCTCTGGGTCACTGTGATGCTTGTCCCTCTAAAATAGTATTTGTCATGTTATGTGACAAATACTCCACATTGTGTTGTAGTTACACACAGGCATGTCTTATCTCCCTGCCCTATCAGACTGCAAAGAGATTGAGGGCAGGAACTGGTCTTTTTTTTTTTTTTTTTTTTTTGAGACAGAATCTCACTCTGTTGCCCCAGCTAGAGTGCCATGGCGTCAGCCTAGCTCACAGCAACCTCAAACTCCTGGGTTCAAGTGATCCTCCTGCCTCAGCCTCCCAAGTAGCTTGGACTACAGGCAAGCACCACCACATCTTGGCTACTTTTTTTTTCTATATTTAGTTGCCGAGCTAATTTTTTCTATTTTTAGTAGAGACAGGGGTCTCACTCTTGATCAGGCTGGTCTCGAACTCCTGACCTCAATCGATCCTCCCACCTCAGCCTCCAAGTGCTAGGATTATAGGCGTGAGCCACTGCACCTGGTCCCAGGAACCTGGTTTTGAGCCCCAGTGTTCTATCACTGTGGGCTGAGTGGGAGCAAAGAATGACAGCTGTCATTAGCCTTCAGATTTATGCTTCTTGGGGAGCCATGCACACTTTACCCTCATTGTCCCAGGTTGCTCCTCTATGAATATTAATCTTTCTTTCCTAGTCTACACTCTCCGAGCACATTGCTTAGCCCCTTCTGTGACAATAGCTATGCTTGCCTTTGCCTTCTAGTTAAGCATAGAGTCATCCTTGACTCTCAAACTAACCCATAGCTTGACACCCAAGGGCATAGATAAAAGCCACTCTCTAAACTTTGCCATGCCACAAAGACCTGGGCCCAATCTGTGAACCTGATTCGGCTTTGGAGTGGGATCTGGAAAATCTCCCTATGTGACGCTGGCATGCATGCCAGTTAGAAACATTTGGCTGCAACTTTTTGAATATGGGGAGTTCAGAGTCTTCCACGGTCCCTCGAGCAGGACTTTGCACACAGAAGGCACTCGATGCTTATTGAATAAAGTAACTACCAATGCAGCCCTTAGCTAGGGCCTAGAGAGCTTGTTAGGCATTTTCCCCCTCAGTTCTAGCTGCAACATCAATGATGTATTTGTCGTTGGGTGGCCAGCTCTGGAGGAATTCAGCCTGTCTCCGGAAAAGCCAGTGTCTTGTTTTAATAATGAGGCCAGTAGCACCTGCCAGAGAGGGCTGGGTAGTGCACCAGTGCAGGGATAGGGCTCCCATGGACCTGCTAACCAATAAGTGGGGCCATCACTCACCACCGATGGAAGTAACAGGAGAAGGAAGAGATAATGACATAGTTTGTGGGGTTAGAGCTAAGCCTGTAGGCCTCAAGTCAGGCTAATCTTTCAGCACCTTTTCAAACTAATTCCTAAAATTTTGTTCTGCTTTTATTCAGAGGGCAGGCTGACCCAGAGAGCAGAAGGGCAGAGGACTCCCACTCACACACCCACTTGGCCAAACCAAAACACTGTGGGCTTTGAACCCACCCTCCTTAGAAGGCAGGTTGGGGGCCGGTGCTCACTCCACCCTCTCCCCATCCCATCCCATTCCTACCCATGCCAGATGCCTACCTGAGCATTATCTCAGCACATGCAGCCATCCGCCTGGGAGCATTTCATTACATTAAATAAATTGCGTCCGTCTCTTTATGTTTCTAGCGATGTCTTGGCATCCCTAATAGTCTGGCTCCCAGGGCAATTTTTAATCAGGCTCTAGCCTAGCTCCTCAGAAGTCCACGGAAGAGGCATAAAGAAAGAGAGGTGTGAATGGGAAGATGGAGGGGTACGGAGTCAGAGAGGGAACGGCAGGTGAGACTGCGGCAAAGGAGCAGCTGGAGCACTGCACACCAGGGACCACAGTGTCCATTCCTGACCACAACCTTCCGCATTTTCCCGCCCTCCACCCACTGAAACCACTGCTCAACCTCGGCCGGACTCTTGTGGACCTGTCCTTCCTTCCAGTCCAACAGGGTTGTCCTAGACAGAGGGATGCAGACCCTCTTGCCACTGCTGGAACATAAAAAATCCCGAGTGGTCTTCTTCACAGCATTTATACTCCACACTCCCCCACACAGAATCAGAAAGAGGGACCTTGCTGATCTCTGAAGCAGAGCGTGTCTCCCAGCTCAGGGCAGCCCAGACCTCAGATGGCCTCAACTCGAGTGGAAGTTCCTCTAGGGCACAAACCCAGGTTCTAGAACCTCCCTCAGTGCCTGGCAATGTTTGCGGTTGGTTGGGTCAGTGAAGAGGAGACCATATTTTGGCTTTTTTCTACTTCCATTTCCTCTTACCACACTTGCTTATGTTACATTGCCCCGTGGGCTTCTCATGAACCTCTTCTCTAGGGCCCTCCAGCCCAAACATCACCTGATTTTTTTGGAATTAAGCTTCATTGAATTCTTGACAGCTTTCATTTATGAAACCTACCTGTGATGAGAAAAAGAGGCCCACAGATATGCAAAGCCTGGTAGAAAGATCCCCAGAGTAAATTGTCTCAGGCGGCTCATGGCGTTCGAGCTCCGGATCTAACCACCAAAGCCAAGCTCTTTGTCACTGTGACCTTGGGCCTCAGGAAGGCTGTTTCCTCATCTATGAAACTGTAGCAAAGCCAATAACAGCCTCACCCACACTATGGGGTGTGCACGAGGTCACGTGTATAAACATACTTGTTTTGTTAGCCATTTGATCCAAGATAAATATGAATAACTATGCAATCGTTTCATAAAAACAGAAAGCCTCACTGTATTATGTGCATGGACGTACCTCTGGCTGGCTGTCTCAGTCGGTTCAGCTGCTATAACCACAGACCGCGTGGCAAACACTCAGCCACAGCACCGGTTCTGGATCCTCACTTCCACCCAAGGGTATTAAGGCTTTTCAGAATTCTCTAGTTATGGAGGACCTGGGTTAGGACTTGGGAATTGGGGAATAAAGTGTGGAACAAGGCCTGGGTGGGTCAGCAT